CCAGCTAAACGTTGCACATGTTAAGTTGCTACTGGGGAAAAAAATCTCTCTTGGGCACATGATGAAACTCACTCAGCAAAAGATCTTACAGTTAGGCTCTACTGGACGCTTCGCTAACTATCTGGCTCAAGACAGGTAGCTAATGAAGTTTCAGTAAACGATCTGATGTTCTATGTCATGGTTTAAGACCAGAAAGCTATGCCGAAGATTTGCATCAAATTTTGGCTTACATCTCCACCGTTAGTTTGATTGTCTAGTTCTTTAACCTTTTTACAGCAGGGAAGTGAAACAGTCGGAACTACCGTGAAAATCAGCTGCGTATTTACACAAGCAATGTTTAAAGACACCAAAAATGCCACCTAAAAGTTAATTATTTTAGAAGTTTGCCTATTGTTTTTTGGGCATGTTATTGAATGTTGCCATATGGTGATCTTTCAGAGAGTCCGTTGTTTTATATACTTTCTTTTGTCTTCAGAATGCGTGAAACGTTATCTGTTGAAAGATGGCCAAAATTCACTTTCACTTGCTCTTCTGTAAACATCAATTTCATAAACACGAGTCAAACAGTCGAAAGACAAGTTTCTCCACCTGTCCCCCTCTCACTAGCTTCCATCTAGCAAGAAAGGTTTGTCAACAAGCACGCATTGGTCTATGCAGCTCGAATCTAACTCAGAGCGTAGTCACGTTTATGAGGAAAAAAATCATCTCATATCTTTAGTCTCTAAGTTAGAGTGAGCTGCCGCGGTGAATTGTGCATGATTCGTGTGCGTATGTATTTGTTGATCCTTCTTCGACGGTTGCACGTGTAACTGGCCGGTTTACTAGCTGCCGACCTGCTTGTCGGCAGCTGCGTAAGCGCTATACTTCGGCAACTGCATTGCTGTTCAGAGGGAATCTGTTGCGTGCGACACGGATTGCTGAATCACAGCTTAAACAAGGTGTTATGCACATATTACACTGGATGTACATAATGGCACACGGAATAAGAAACGTACCGTCATGATCCCATGTAACGACATTTTCTAAACTGAACCCAGCAGTTAAGTTTCAAACAAGTTTCCTTAAGTCATATTCCACTTATTTTGAGGCAAACACGTCAAAGCATGATTTCATAACATTTTTTGCAAAAACACAAACGCTGATGCTTTGTAGTCTCGTGTTATTGATTGTCATCATCATTAGCAGCAGCAGCATTAACTCATGATGATCGTTGTCATCTTTCTCAATTAATTATTCCGCTGCAAGAGAAATTTCAACGTTAATTTCTGCTGGTCACTGTGTGATGGAAAGTGATGGGTGTAGTTGAAACTCCATTTTTGACTGCTTGATTTCGAACCAGTCGTCATTCAAGACATACTTCTTTCTTTCTATGTGTAAGAATATTCATCATTCTCTACTCAAAGTTTTCTCTTCAGCCGAAAGTTTCTGTGACAAACGTCTCTGTTACAGTGACTAAAGAGAATCGAATGACTTAGTTTCATGGTCGATTAATGTAGTAGTTGCCTGCATTCGCGACATTTTATCGATGTCAGATTTATGGATAGTATGACGATATGTATAAAATGAAAATTTTTCGCTGAAATTACTTGATTTGTTTAAGAAAAGGACTGTTTTGCGGATAACATGTAAACGAGTGAAAATTATTAATGCTGATGTAAAACATTTCTGGAAACTTCTTGACTATATATCCTGTTGCTGCTACAGCGAAATTTTTTTTTATTCTTGATGAGATGCTAAACCTTAAAAAAACAATCACTTCTTTAAAGATGTTTCATTAGGAAATGCTCCTAATGTTACGAAATGATTTAAAGCACCGAGTTTCCGTTGTAAGAAGGATTGTTGCTACCAATCCTAACGGAATGCATGCTGAAATATTTTTGCCACCTCGTCAACTTTTGGAATGAATGGAAAATTCCGAGAAAATATTTCTCACAACATATTTTATAATCCTTTGAATACAGGAGCATTTGTAGTTATCATTTCTATTTCTGATAAAAGGATACGGCACCATGTTGCAGTTAGTCTGTTAGAAAGTAGCGCCATGCAACTCCAGAGAAACGATACGTGTTTTAAGTTGAAATGCCAAAGCTTCTGAAAGTAAGTTTTGTAAATTTGCTCAGAATATCAATAATTTTGAAGGGAACATCTATTTTGGTTAAGTCCTTGAACATGTTGCTGTCCATGCCAACACAGTGGTACAGTTTTTTATTCATGTCGACCGCAAGTCATACTGGACTTGGTGGGCTTCTTGAAAACATTCACAATACTTATTTATAAGCAGTTCATTTAAAATACAGATGCTCCTGACTTACGATGGGGTTTCGTTCCGGCGAACTCATCGTAACTC